TGAGTGCTGGAGTTCGTTACCAGCATGATGTCGACTTTAAAAAATTAATAGGTCTTGTAACCTTCTAGACGTCGTTTTTTCAGAAATCCTAAAATACGGGATTGCTTGACGGGTGATTACTGATGGCGCTGATCGATAGAGCTAGCTGAGAAATAGGTGAAATGAAGGACCCGCATGGTGCGGTGGTGAGCGCGTTCATTCCCCACAGCAGACACCTGTGATCCGGAGTTTTCCAACTATCTCAGTGTCACTGTGGTTAACCCCGAATACTAATAAAGATTAGAAAAGAAAGCTTATCTCTATGAAACAACAGACTACTCTAAAATTCTTGTCTGAATTATCGTTTAATCTTGTTAATTTCGTGTTATGTAATAACTATTAGGTATTGCTACAAAGACATGGGACGGTGGAAGGACACACTTTTACTGCAGCAGCAGCTGTTTCGAACTATACAAAAAATTTCTATCGCTCACGGATTCTGGAACTCATTAAGTGAGCAAAAAAGTGGCGCACCTTAACTTATTTTGTTTCTGGAACCCGGATACTGCCAAACATTAGACTTAAACTAGTGAGTTCGTTCAACTCCCTTTTGAATGCTTCTGTTTGACACTTTTAGCGATTCCGTCTCTATTATAAACTAGAGAAACGAAAACGCCGTCGTCATTGATATGTCCCGCAAAAGATACCCAGCCTCGTCAAGGGCTAGATTAGCATTGTGAATCGCATCATCGCCTGACACTGAGATCGCTTTCCGGAACCGCTTACGCTTGCGGAGAGAAGAAATGAAGATCGTCTCTGAAATTGAGCGGAGACAACACTGAGACGATGTGCCGTCACACGCAAAGGCGTCAGCAACTGTTTACCGTCCAAATTTAAAGCATTTTTTCCTACTCTTTATAGAATCGAAATTGGCGTGAAAAAGTTGGCGCTCACTGGATTGAAACGTAGTCATAGAACAACCATTCCTGATGGCTGACATACCATCAGATTCTTGACCAGCTTGTCAGAGATAGACACCCATATTTTTCTCCGCTTATAAATTTTTTCTGCTGAGTCTTTCAATTTAGTGCATAAAATAATCTACAAGGCTTGATCATGAAAGTGTCACTGTCTTATTTTTCCTAAGCGAAAGGTTTTCAAAGCCACGAATGATTGTTTCAGCCTCCTGACTGATCCAGCCCTTGGGCTTATACGTGGTAACACCGAATAGAAGACCAGTAAACATTAATATGTTTTTAGAAATATAAAAACAGAAATTAAATCGTATATTACAGTAATTTTAAATCATAACTTCTTTAACAAACTTTGGCTGTTTTCTTCTAAAACTGCTAGCCAAATAAAAAGCTCCCAAGTTACTTTAAATTTAACTGGCCTACTTAGATGTCGTTCTCTCGTTGCCTTATTGAAAATTGACCAATTCTACTATTAATATAATATTGACTGTCGACCACTTATTATTAAAGTCTAATGAACTTAGTTTTCCGGTGCATTATAGTAAGGTTGACAGACAATCTAGAAGAACTAGCGGAAGGATACAATCAAAACACCAAACACAAACGGTTCCCGACGGTCCGACGATAAATCTCTCTTTTCACAAATGCCTTGGCAAAGAATGCTCTGATTGAAGGACAGAGTTTCATGCATTCACTGCATTCACTGAGCAATGTTCAGAGAAACTGGAGATAACACTGACGACTGAGTCGATAAAAACATTACTGTGACCCTCTGAATTGACTTATTTCTCCTCCAGCAGGAAGCTTGTAACAAAAAATAATCATATGATGGCCGAGTGCTTTTTGTTTAAAACTATTACTAACAGCTAGAGTTAGGTGCACAGTTTCTTCTAATAAAGTTTGTAACAGTTTATCCGTGCTGGGAAAGAATAAAATCAAAAATTATCCATGTATCTTTTCTAAACACTTCTCTGAATGCTAGATGTTTTCTTCACTGGTTCGGAGAACAACAGAAAGGAACCTCTCTGATAGTCAAAAAGTTCACCGAAACGCTGAATAATCAGAGTTCAAGAGAACTAATCCCGTGTAATCACCCATTAGGCAATGTTTGTGATGTAAAGAGGTGCAAGAAGTTTCGCAGCAATCGTCTGTGCCAATTTTTCATTTGAACTGAATATGCGGGATTTTCTCGGAAAGGGCCCACAACCCTCTCCAAATAAAAGAGACGATGTTCCGGGTTGGATATTTACAAACAGCTTTTCTATCTAATCCTAGTTTTTTATGCCTGCAACGACAGAATTGAAATTTGTGCGAAGCACCTTATTTACAAAATTTAAGAGACAGTTGTGAAGAATAGCAAGTACCAATATCAAGCAAATACTTCAAATACAGGTATCAAGCAGCAGCATAGCCTTTTACAAACCATTAAGATAAAGTCGCGTAAAAAGTTTTACAACGTACAGTTTGTGTGGAATTGGAAGTGATGTTAAGAAATCGAACTCATGGGACCCACTTATGGTAAACCCCGTCGAGGTTGAGAGCTATAAACATTGGTTATGCGTTCTTCTATGATCATCAGCAGACATTGAGCATTGGTGTCGCTGAAAATCTTCGCTGGATGGCCGACCAGCTTCTGTATCCTTCGTTGGTCAGTGATTGACAAGCACAGGCATCATACGGATATTTCTTTCCCTTCGATCAACTGGCTGCATATGCTAATATACCGGTCCATCAACGTTTGTCTTTCGCCATATAGCTCGTCAGACGTGGACGGCTCCTGAGTGGAATCTGGGTGCAGTCAGGGCGAAGCTGCAGTAGAGTAAAAGTAGAAACTCTAATGCCAATAACTAGAGAAGTTGAACAGTAGAAATCAAGGAAGTCATGGCATATTAACGATGTTTGTTTCTCAAGAACAACACCCACGGTCACAGACCAAGCAAGCTATAGGAATACGACAGACGTTATGTTTGCCATCAAGCGATTGATGAGCAGACACTTCATCTTCTCATCATCGTTATTGAACCTGCCAAGGGCTTTTTTTTAATCTTGGTAATCAGTTCGAAACATTTTCGCTTTAAAGTGTTTAGTGGTTAAGTCCCTCCCAACGGTTTACCGTCTCATCGTGGCTGGGAGGTGTTCCTGGGTGTCGGACTGCGTTGTACAGCGGAAAGATTCGCCCCTCCGGCAGAATTTCCCAAGCTGAGAAGAAGTCCGGCGCTTTCACCAGGAAGCCTAGCTAAAAGTAAACCAATACCAGGATCCGCCACCGTCCTGGTATCAAAGTCGGATGGTGGCAAATCCCTCTTTGATCTACAAGAGCTGCGACTGCCCGTGGTGGTGAAGACCTGAGGCAGCCTTTGGCCAGGCTGACTTCAGGATTCCAGGAAACCACAATGGCTTAACCAGCAAGTCTCCGAAAAATGGTGATTATGCTGGGGCACGCACAACCATTGAGGACGGGTTGTTCAAGTGTTAAGTATGTAAATGATTAAGTCGATACACTCTTGCTACACAGTATCCATGAAGTTACACCCTATTTTGAATAAAGAAAAGTATCCTTTTGTAAAAAAACCCGAAAAAAGTTGGAGTGTGGAAAAGGATGAAACAAATATAAAGAACAAAGTCTGGAAGTAAAATCGAGTTAAGTTCTTAATCTTGTATTTTTCGATGCAACGTAATGTCGTCGTTTACTAGATCTTGGAAAAGTTATGAGGAAACAGTGTTCTTCAATATAGTTTGTGTCCCGGGCTGGTAAGTCTAATAAGAAGACCTCATCATACAGCGAAAAAAACCACTTTGCAAACATTTCTATGATTACAGAGCAGACTATTTACCAAAACCTTAGAAACTGCAGATAAGATTTCATGAGAGATTCACTGACGTTTTAATGACACAGTGACATTAGAGGCGACGAAGATTTTCTATAGGTGTAAGATGGGAATGCTATTCTATTCCATGAATGAAATAACGACTCGTACTTTTCAGCTCCTGAAAAAATTCTTCGAATGTCGGAACCAACAATTCTAAGCGATTTTCTTAGAACTCTTGGATATTACCGTGTCTCCGCTCCTACTCTACACTGGGCTCCCTCTTAGATCGGAAAAAGTGGAAGTGACGTTCTCGAAAAGTGGTAACACGTAAAGAATTCCGTGTGACTGGACTATGAAATCAACAGTCGTCTATTCCATGGTACATCTCTTAAAAAGTGAAAGTTTTTTTTTGAGAATATCTTAGTGGGCCAAACAACTTGCAAGAGAGTGTACACATGGCACATTAAAAGGATGAGAAGAACTTTTGTAACTTCCAGAGAAATTGTTGGACGAAGTCGAAGCCTATGTTGGTCCCTATAGTGATTGCACTAAAACCTGTCCTTGAATGGAGTGAACTGAAATAGTTAGTATTTCAGCATCCGAGATTTTCTGGATCACATCACATAGTAGTGCTGATATCTGAAGTTTTTGCCATAGTTTCCTTTAATTTAACAGCATCATTTTCTGGATTTTTGTTGTGGATAAGCGGGAGATTTTGCGCCCTTAGCGGTGATTTTGTGCGGTTATTCGCTTTCGGATAAGGAGCTATCTCTCAAAGAGAAAACAAAGACGTAAGCAATCGGACCCGTAAGTGGTATGCGGGCAGCAAACCGGGATTTGGCACGGCGGTTGATCGTCCTCCTCCAAAGCCGCCGATCATGACGAACCTATAAAAGCGATCAGCTCATCATGATATCAGCATGCTCGAAATCCTGCTAATTTGTAATGCGACTTTAGCTTCGATTTTATTCTCATTGTGATAAATGTGCTGCTATGTTGAACTACATCATTATTTTCTTTTGTGTTTATGGTAGCCGAGCATTAAGATTAAGTTTCTAGTCCTCTAGAAAATCAGGTGCACCGCTTCTGTGACTGCTTAAAAGTCTGATAGTCAATCAACTTTAATTTTTTGGTACATCTCCACCCTACCATTGAAGCTAATATATTGGTGAAATTTCAGAGCTTTCATTTTTCACTTATTGCATTTCCGTGAGCTTGCTCAACTACAGCGTTGCAGATGTTTCGGGTAGCGCTTATAGTGTCCTTGGTCGGATTCAGTACTGCCATTCCGGTTGACAACGGAGTTGAGGGCGAGCCGGAAATCGAATGCGGGCCGACTTCTGTAACTGTGAACTTTAACACCAGGCGAGTTGTATCTCTACCGTTACATGAAGCATCTTACACAAAACTCCCACCTACAGTATGCATATAATCTGTAAGGTTTCATATTTAAGCAAAAATTAATACGAATTTATTTCTAGCTTCTAAAACCCTGCGCAAGTACATTGCACAATAGTTAGTACATTTTACTACATTACCATTGCTATACTAGCTTTTTTGGGTTTATAATTACTGATCTCCTTCCAACGGTTTACCGCCTTATCGTAGCTGGCAGGTGTTCCCGGGTGCCGGGCTGCAACATACAGCGGGGAATTCGTTTTCCTGGCAGGTCTCCCAAGCCGAGAACGAGTTCGGCGTTCCCATCAAGAAGCCTACCCAGCAGTAAACCAATACCATAGTCCGCCACCGTCTTGGTATCAAACTAGTCGCATGGTGGCAAATCTCCTTCTGTTCAAGGGTGGCGACTGCCTGTGGTGGTGAGGACCTGGGGCAGACTTTGAACAGGCTGACTTCGGGATTCCAAGGAGCCATAATAACTTAGCCAGCAAATCTCCGAAAAGTGGTGATTATGCTGGGACCCGCACAAGCAGTGAGAATTGGCTATCCAAGTATCTGATTAAATAAGTGATTAATGATCTTAAAACAAATTTTTAAGTATTTTCGAGACGAGTAGAAGGGCACAAGGTAAGCTTCCATATCTCTGTCGCGAAAAGAAGACCCGAATAGTTGCTAGAAAACTGTGATTAGCTGAAATTTTGCAAATATGGCTTATTATCCCAGTCATAACGAGTAACAAAATTAAGTGTTAATGAAGATCAACAATTGAACTGCATGTGGGCCAGTTGGAGATATAGGCATGACATAGCATGACATTGTGACATAATATTCATGTGCAACCAATGAAATAAAATTATTGGCGATAAAATTTTGCCAGAACTTGGTGAAAGTCTTAAATCGGTGGCAAAAATACTTTTCTTTAATTTTAGGAATCCATTTGAGGGTCATGTCTATGTGAAAGGCCTCTTTGATCACGAGGAATGTCGTAACAACGAGGGCGGACGACAGGTTAGATCCTAGGTCTTTCGAGATCGAAGCGTGTGATGTTAATATATGTTTTTTCTAAGCAAACCAGATTCTTGAGTTACAATGAAGAATTTATTGTTGCCCGCTAATAATTCCGGTGTGTTAACAACCCTGCTAAGAAAAACTCCATTTGAGCGAACGGCATCCTGAAGTCGCAATGAATTCTTCCTGGTTTTCTCAGTGAAAATATTTTTACATTTTCTTAACTGTATGAAGCAGTCATCGCGAAATCCGACACAATCTTGTAGAGCACTCATTTCGCTTCGGTCTTCTTTCTCGCTTCCTAGCTCTGGGCGGGAATTATTCTGATAAAAAAATGCAAGAAGTTTTCTGGTGAATAACAGACTCTAGGTGGCCGGCATCGAGCTGCCGTTCGATTCTTGCAATGTCGCTCGAACCCGCTCGTTGAATCCTCGAGGAGTGTTCGTCACGACGACGGTTGTCGTCTCGTTCCATCCACAATTTGTCACGAAAGTCGACAGGTTAGTTAACCAACAACAACAGCGGAGATTTCTTGCATGGGTTATTCTCGACGTCAATTTCGAGCTTCCGAGAGGCGTATGCTAGTCGAGAACCCAGAATGTCGGGTCCATTTTTAGGAAACGCAAACCCAGAATGCAAACCGAGAAGAAACTTATTCTCTAGTTTAAAAAGCTTTGGGTGTAATCCTAAAACCACAACCGTAGTTTTTGTAACTATTTTGGCAGAGGTTAGATGACCAACAGCTCGTCCCACAGGAAACCTCCGTGTAAGTTGCAAGATAAGTTACCAGTAGTGACTAAAATCGGTGACTGAGCGTAGGACTTATAGTTAGACGAAGGATGAGAGAAAATCTCTTGAGATTAATCTCGAAAAGATACACCGTCTATTCATATTCTGTTAGCAGTAGGTCCAGATTATAATTTTGCATAGGTGTTTTTCATTAGAAGAACTTGCGACTTGTGCTGAATAAGAAACTGTTACCACGTTAGTCAAGAATTGTGACAGTAACAGAATCTTGACCTTAAGTGCCCCACTGAGCGCCCTGATGCGATAAGCCATCCGCATCTAGCTACTTCCTACATTTCGAGTGGTAAAAAATTGACGTCATGTTTTAGGAAACTGGATTATCGTCCTAATATCAAAACATATCAGAAATGATGACTGTGAGTTTCCCAAAGAACATGAAGCTTATTCCTCAGAAAGTCTTTTCTTCTGAAAACCGGAATAACCTATCCTATAGTAGAGCTCAAAATCTTCATTTTGTTTTATGCCCGATATTACTTTCGAAGCTTTGAGTGCCTGAACATGGCTGAAAACTGAAAGATCAATGTTTTTAAAATTTATGAGCTCATCGTGGTTGTTCTGATTTGCACTGAGCAACATTTCTTTTTCATTGCCAGCGATTTCTTCCACCTCTGTGCGCTACTTACTGCCGTATTTTTGAAAAGCGTATTTCACGATTTCAAACTTACTGCTGTAAAATTGTAGAGCATATCGTGTCCAGTGCTTCTACATGGAAGCCGACAAGACCGTTTCGACTCAAATCGAAGTGTCTGATCTCACAACGGCTTTTCAGACCCAGGTATTCTTCTGCAAAATAACGATTTTTTTGTATGGAAGTTATCTTCAGCAAAAAACGGATTTACTAAAAGTAAATATAAAAATGTTTAATTGAAGATCGTTCCTATGCCGATCTGTAAGTATGAGATTCTCAATGGTGGTCCTACTGGTGAACCAGTGCAATTCGCCACAATTGGACAACCGGTTAGATTTTGCCGAGTTCTCAGATTAAGCCTGGAACTGAATGTTTTAAAGTGTTGTGGGAAATAATGAAATACGACGGCAGTTCTGATTAGAGACCCTCTTTCTAGTTAGCTTGCCCTTTTAGTAAATAACTAACTATCAACTGCTTCAAAAATCAATGTGATCGATTAGTAGGTTTATCACAAGTGGACTTGTGACTCTGAGACTCAAGACACTTTCTGCGCCGTCGTGCACTCGTGCACTGTGGATGACGGAAACGGCGACACCGTACAGGTAAAACGTCATTAAACTCTTATGTTGTAAAGAATTAAGGACATTCAAGCTTAATTGAAAAAAAGTTTGCAAAAAAGACTTCTTATGAGGATACCATAAGATAGTGATAGTGATTTTCTTCATGGAAAAGTTCTCATTAAAACACTAGCGTCCTTTCAAAATAGTAATAATTGTGCTTATTATAATTATTGTCAGTGATTGAAAGAAAGGCGAAACGGAGGACTCGCATGGCGTGGTGGTAAACACGTTAGCTACCGAACGGGGTAATTGCGGGTTCGATTCCCACCGCAGCCACTTGCGGTGCGGAGTTCTGCAATTATCTCGGCATCATTGTGGTTACTATTGCTGTTATTACATGATATGCGGATACTAATGGGCGCGGGTAGCACAGTCGTCAGAGACTCCATGCAAAGCACATGCGATCCTTTCCAGCTTCACAGGCTCACAAAGCTCTCCATCGCTTCGGGGTTGCCACATTGATACCAGTCTTGTATGAGAAGATAGCAACCCTGACTCCATACATCGGTAGGCCACCGCAATTCATTGGAACAGCCAGATATGCATTCAATCACCTCCAACGAGACTTAGTGAGGCCACAAGCATGCCATATCTCTCGCGGATTGATTAACGCTGAGAGCTTTATCCTTTATTATTTTATTATTACATGACCCGTAATCACATCAGCTGTGCTCATTCCAGCACTTCTTGCATTCGTTTCGTTTTTATCTCCCGCATCATCCACAAAAGGTCTTCGTCTTCGAACACTTCGTGTGTTCCCAAGATCGACTTTCTCTTAACCTCGGCATTGGAATATGAATGTGTCGTTTTCTTGTTCAACAATCGCGAGGTTTTTAAAGAGCATACATTTACTTCCATAAAAACGCAATACAATACAACGCTAGCTGACGTTTCGGCAGTATCGCCTTCTTCAAAGCCTGGAAGGGTATACTGATATACAATCTACTAGGCCAAACGCTTCAATAACACTTACACAAAGACGAAAGACTCTTTGGTAACTACACGATCAACAAGTTCTCGAAAAACCCACCGCTTTTTTTTTCGTGATTTCCAAAGAGGAAGTTTAGAGCAGCTGATTATAGTCGCATGTGGTTGACGACTGCACCATCCCACATCAAAAATCGATGCGAACGTACGGGATCAGGTCGCGTATGATCTCCGGGCATTCGTCCCTGCTATTCATTGTAGGGTTTTTGGCATTGATCCAAAAAGCCTCTAGGAGTTTTCGCGCTGGTGTTTTGGACTCCTGTGCAAGGATATTGACTTTCACTTCAAAATCGTCTCCGCTATGCTTTTGTATCCTATGCGTGCCTAGTGGGGTGCTTCGTCTTAGTTTTCGTTTGCCATCTAGGTGTTCTTTTATACGGATACACAAAGGTCTGCCCGTTTCGCCAATATATTCATCTCCGCAATTGTTACAAGTGATCAGGTATATCGTACCTGAACTCATGCAATCACCGTCCCTGCCGTAAGGGCAAATTACGCAATTTGTTGTTTCACACAGACGGTCATACAGGCGGTTGCGAACTAATTGGCGACGTAGAGTAGCCGGTGGTATTTCAACTAACGCTACCGATTCCTCTAGACTTCCCCTTCTTTAGCATCGTTTTATAGCTACGCTTACTTCATCGCTTATAAAAGGCAACATGAACGGGACTTTCTTTTGGCCAAGTGTTTCG